TATATATATATATATATATATATATATATATATATATAATAACAATGCCAATATTATGAACTTCAACTAGCAGCACATAAATCTTACTTGTTTCATTTTATCAACAATTTCAGCATTACAGCTAAAAATATTTTGGAATACTTACTCTTTGAACATTTAAATTCTTCATAGGAAGAAATTCTAAACATATCTTTGACAATAATTTTGAAAGATACAATATGTACAGATCATTTTGTTAAAGCTTAAACTACTAAGCAATATAATACCTGACAACACAAGTCTAAGCATTTATCACACCATAGATATTTAAAACTATTTGTTATCTTTTACTTTCCTCCAGTTTTATGCTAAGTGCCCAAAGTTATCTATCTGCTTTTAAGAACTGGTCACCTGTGGTTGTTCTCTTCAAGGCTGGCTGTTGGGCAGACTTCCTGTAGCAAAAACATCCTCATATTCTCTGGTGGATTTAAATGGATGGAAATATACAAAATACACTGGCGGTCATGCATTCACACAGGCTGCGCTATTTTTTTGTGGATATCTAGCTGGAACTTGCCACATACTAAATAAAATGTAAGTTTGTACGTGTTTCTCAGTTTGTAGTAATTTACAGTTATTAAGTAATTCAATATATATATATATATATATATTTTGGTTATTTATAGTATTAGATGTAACTTTAATGTTTCTAATAGTATTAACTACATTGGCCAAATGTGATATGCATGGTACACAACACCACTAACAGTGAAGTTACTCAACTGATGACTTACAGCACAGTGGTTGTAGAAGCTTTTTCTAGTTTTCTGTTACCTAAGACCATTTATTATTAATTGCAATTATTATTGTATAATTTTAGAAATCTTTCTGGCAGAAGTTATTACATGATTGCCTAAGTCAGTGAAATTTACCATTATGTACTAGAGAAAAATATCAAACCAGAAAAAGTTGAAACTTATGTAACAAGTGTTAATAATGTATGCAATAACAATTTGAAATTTACAGAAATACCTCAGTTTTTATGAAATGTTGAAAACAGTAACAGTGTTTAAGTAATCACCATCAAAGAAGTATTTTGTAAATTGTTATCACTGTTTACTAGCTGACAGTGAAGTTTCATTTAGAAGTCCTCACACTGTTGATGTTTTCATTGTATAAGTATCTTCTTCTCCATAATGACCTCAATCCCAACTAGTTTTGTGTCAACCAGTAATTTTGTAATTTAAGACTTTTACACTCAGGTGGCTGGCTTAGATAGTAACCAAATAGGACAAGCATGTTCAACGACAGAGATTTGAACTTGCAACCCTCAGATTGTGAGTCGAGCGCCCTAATCACCAGGCCATGCTAGGCCCAATGTTTAAGTATAACCATCACAATGCACTACAATAAATACATACACACACACTGCATACTTAAAACTCTTTTTTGCATTCTATTTTGCTAACTTTCAATTTATTAAAATGAAACCCTGCAAACTTGTCCCCAAAACTTTATTTTAGTGAATACACAGTATCATTTTGTGCTACGGATGTTACACTGTACATTGAATCCAAGTATAGATGTACTGTAAATCTTGTTTATGAGCAGATTCAGTATGATATAAATATTATTCTTATAGTTCTAGAAATTTTCAAGCGAGTTTCAAGTTTGATGTGCTACGAGTATAAAAGTAAGCAGTTTGTGATTCTCAAGTATTTGCTACAAAAAACATGTTTGAGTTCATTTTGTAGATTATGTAACAAGACATAATGAAACAAAATTGTGTAAGAAGAACTATTCAATTTATATGTTGTTCCACTTGGCATTAGGTTGAAGTCAAAACTGGACCATATATCACAATCAACATATATGTATCAGTTTTTCCAAACTGAACATAAATATTTCATGTTAAAACAAGATGTTTTCGACCAGAAAGCTGACAGAGGATTCTGTTAATGTTTTCTGCCTCATTGTGTCATCTAAACTGAAATTCTTATGTCTTTATTTAGTATTAACAAGTTAATGTGTTTTCCTCTACATTAACAATGATGAAAGTTGATTCTCATGATTCACAACATACTTCCATTAATTCCTACTTCTCTTGTAACAGAAATATCAGTTTTTCACACACACACACAATATATTTTAAGCTCTTCAAACCAGTGAGAAAAACAAAAACAATACAGTGTCTTAAAAATCTATTACATTCAATGGTTATTAGCCTGAAGGTCAAATTTCTTACCTAAAAACCAGTCATATTACTTTGTATTTTGGTTCTTAATTTAAAATAGTGACTATGGAAAAGTACTATCCTAATGACTGCAGTTTTTAAAATGTTTTTTGCAGCATAATGTATTTTTACCTCTGCAGCTAAAGAAATGTGACATTAATCTCATTATGTAGATACACAGTATTAAACTAATATACATAGTTTGCAATGATTCAGCTCCATTCTTACAGTGGATACTGAAACTGTACTTTACTGAGTCTGTGGTTCTAGGTGACAGGGACACTGAGAAATTAGATATGATAAATGTAAATGAAACCTATAATTTATTTCCACTGTAGTTTTTTTTTTCTGCATCACTTTGTTCACATCAAAACAACTTTACAAACCACGAAACCAGACTCATGTTATACAGGATCCCTAAGAACATAAACAGGAATGAAAAATAAAGCAATGAAATGGTGATGACATAAGCTTGTTGAAATATCATATATTTGTAATGAAGTTTCTTTCACTATCAATTCAAGCTGTCTTCAAACTCTATTTGATTGTTTGATATACACTGCCACCATGTAATGAGCTTAGCATCTGAAATTTGTAGTGTTCAGGAAAATGAGTAATCATAATGTATGAACACTTAATATTTTATACTTTATAAAAATCTCTCAAATTCCATAGCAAGACTAAAATGTACAGGCTTTAAATCAAAATATACTATCTGATTAAATAGTTACCATAATTCTACGGAACAATAAAAACTCATTTCCAGCTTTAATACCTGTTTCTGTAATGTATGGAGAAAAGTCTGCACAGTTTTGTATGTAACAAAACACCAAGAAAACAATTCCACATAAACACTATTCAATAAATTCAGTAAGCTTTAATTTTACCCTCATTGAAGCCAACTTAATAAGTGTTAATGCTCATATTTTGTTTTGTGATTAAATCTTCTAAGTTCTCTCATAAAATTCTGCAAAAAAAGCATATAGCAAAAATTCAGCTAAAATATTAATGTTCTGATCACCATGAACTGTTTTAACTAAATTGTGGCTACCCATTAATTATGTTTGCCTAAGATCCAACAGAAGAGATCTGCTTTCTACAAAAACATTTCATGATAAATATCAGGAAAACTGAACTAATTTTTTTACTTATTTCCTGCTGCTGTCAGATCTATTAAAAAAGAATGTTAGTGGTAAGTTCTACAGGTAGACTCTAAATAACAAACTCAAAGTCCTGATATTTATTGTGTGGTTTAACTACAGGAATAAAATGTGTCCAAGACCCCAAATTGGTAATATTTTTGTATTATTAAAGTTTTTCTTTAGATATTACAGGACAAAAAAAAATATCTTTCACAGAAAGTCTTTTCACTCTGATCAAAACAACAATACTACTACCTAAAACTGTTTAATGGCTTCATCAATTTCATCTATACGGTGTTTCAAAGCATTCCACTGTTCCATATTCAGAGAAATTCCTGTTAATAAAAACAAAAAGAACATAAAATGCCATCAGCTAAGTTACTGAGATGCTACTATGTTGTTGCAAGATTCAATATTATTTAATTTTCTAAAAAAACACAAATCTATAAAAATACTTGCTTTTTATCCATTACTCGTGTGTTATAATATGGTTATTGTTTAGTAACAACAGTTGACTCTGTGCAATCAATTAACATTACAGAAAAAATCTGAAAAGAAAGTTAAGCAGCACCAAATATAACTTGTAAAAATGAGTATTTCAGTTACAATAAACTGGTAATTACTTTCTGAAATTGTGTTGCTAAATAACATTACAGAGAAAAAAAAGCAAAAACATAAAATTGCAGCACCCAAAACATTAACAAAAATAAATATGCTGGTTAATTTTCAAAAATTTTGCTGCTAATTAACACTACAAAGGAAATAAGGAAACTATGGAAATGTATTCTAGCACCAAATAATACAAAGAAACATCTTCTAGAAGTACATTACAAAAGAAATTTTAATTTATTTTGTAATATATTAAGAAAGGACGTCCCTTTTTTAGGCTTAACTGTCAGATTTTTTTTCTTTGTTTTTAAATGTCTGTGTAAGAAAATGTTTTGATATTGCTTTATCTAGTACTATTATCAAAGACTTAATTCTGAGGGAATAAAATCCAAAGAGTTAATAATAATTGTAATAACAAATTGACAGAAGTTTCTGTGCAGCAAATATACTTGCTAGTCGTATAATATAACTTGTGATAAACAATACAAACTGCCAAACCCTAGAAATGACACTCTCCATTATGTACCATGAGGCATAATTTTTTGATTGAAGTATCTAGTGACTCACAGCACAGTGTATGGGCCTTAGTCCTTGAAGTTCAAACTCACTAGACTTAACCATTATAGCCATCTTATTATGTAGTAATATCCTTTTTATGTCCAAATAGATCATGAACCTAAACTACGTGCTAAGACTTTTTTCTACAATAATGTAAGACATGCATGAAAGCTGAAAGTTATGGTTGGTTTATTATGTACAGCTGAAATCTTTAATATAAATTCCCCAAAAGCTCTTAACAACAATAAAATTGTAATAGTTCTAAACATTGTAATAAATTTGGTACAGTGGAAGTTGAATACTTGAATCACTATGCAGGTACATGAAGAAAGGGGTATTGCTTCACTAAAAGCCGTACTTTGAATAACAGAGAAAACAATTCAAGGCATAAGAAAAAATATGTGTCAACTAATTATTCAAACTGATGACTGTCAATCAATCTACAAACTGATCAAACTTATGGCATAATTTCGTGATACCCTGGATGCTATACATGTAGCTGCTATTTGAATTTTAAAAATCATGATAATAGAAAGTTAACATTTTCCTCACCTGAAAATGTATTACAGATAATTACTCATCTTTCTGTCCAACAGTTTGTTTTGTTTTTAATTAAGCACAAAGCTACACAAGGGCTATCGAAACCCGGTTTCTAGTGTTGTAAGTCCGCAGACATACAGCTGTGCCACTGGGGGCAATGTCCAACAGAGAACTGCTGTGAAAATTTTTGCAAATGCCATAAGCCTTGAACAAATCTCCCACCCTTACACATATTAACATGTATTTGGTGCTTTTTTTAAACTATTTTAGTTTTAGCTGTGTTATAGTTACATTTAGATACCTTCAAATCAATGTTTTTTGTAGTTTTCCTTTTAATACTCTAACGAGTGTACTAATATACCATATTAATTTCTCTTATGGGAATAATAACAAATGTAAAACAGTTCTGTTTATGTTAAAGCTTTATAAGTGAAGCTAATATTTTATATTAAATTTTAAAACAAACTTACCAATAATAAAAGAACCTGTATGGAAAGGGTTAAATGTCACAAACACAGTAACTCAGGAAAGTGGGGACATAAATGTAAAATAAACTTAATAACCATTTACAGTGTTTATTGGAAAATAATCAATTTCCCCTTTTTTTCTTTTCGTATTGGGTGGGATAGGGTGTTTTCAGTGTTTACTGGTTAAAACCAAATATCAGAAGCCCTATGTGTATTGTGCTAGCCCATGGTGTAATCGTTATCAGACTACAGTCCTCTACCAATAAGATGGCAACATGGACAGTAATCCTCATGAGCACTAGCATTGAGGAGATTATGGAGGGACCAGTGCAGATAAAGAAATTATAAATAAATTAAAAAGTGTGTGGTGTCTAAGCATAAATGTCAGCAAAACACTTCCCACAATCAAGAAGAAGACATGGCTTTAAAGACAGATGATACATGGAACAGGTGGCTAAAGGTTTCAACAAGGAACATGTAAGGGCCCACAGAACAACACAGAGATTCTAGTCCTGAAGAGGTATTGGATGAGTAGGACAACTACTGAGAAAAGCTCGAAAGAGGTTTATAAGAAATGAAGAAATAAAATAAGAATGGCTTGAGAAGAAACAGAAGGCCATTGAAAAAGCAGTCCTTCAACTGACAATCATAGAAATTGACAAGTGCTTTCAAAAAGCCAGATAAAAAAAGGAAATGAAATGAAGAAAAGTAGAATAACCTGGAAGGAGTAGAGAACAGTAGGAGAAAGGGGAGGGATTTCAAAGATGGAAGGAGAGATTCAAGGGATTGAACTTTAAATAAAAGAATCTTGACCATAAGCCACAGAAAAGGTTGCCATAAAGTTGAGAAGAATGAGACTGCTAAGAGTTAGTGTCGAGCTGAGACAAAAATTTAAGGAGAGTCAAGGAAAACAATAGTCAGAAGAAGAAGGATCATGCAAGAATGTAGAGTGAGACTCATCAAAAACAGTTTGAGAAAGATTAAAAATGTCTTATGTCCGAGCAATCAAAATAGCAAATCAAGAAGGCAGGGTTAACCTTTCCTCATCAGGAAGAGTAGAATCAGAGGCAAAGGTAGGCAGGAGGAACAGTTGGTCAAAAGACAAGGCAAGCTGCATCAAAGTAACTGAAACAAAGAGGTCAAGGAACCTGGATGAGATAAAGGTAGAATATAACCAATAACCTGGTGCACAATAGCAGTTACAATTCTGACCATCAGAATGCCCCCAGTTGCCACTGAAATAGCAGGGGTGAGGTCAAGAAATAGTGTCAGGACCTCAGAAGGTAGCAGAAACAGATAGTTGGGAATTTATAATCATAGCAAGTATAATAAAAACTATTTGAATTTTATAAAGACAAATAAATATTAATACATACGTAACCTAACTAGCTATAGAGATTTAAAAGTTTTAATACTACAAAAAACATTGAAACAAGAAAGTCAAAACTACAAAAACTGAGTTACTTAAAA